GTACGATGTGCCGGTCGACGTTGGCTCGTTGTGACTCGGTGGCGGGTGACACGCTGATCGCGACGAAACTCGTGCTTAGTGTGTAAAACGTATATTAGAAGAATTACTAGAGAAATCGGTATCTAGGCAACTATTGCCACTACCCAACCAAACCGCTGGTCACGCGCACCAGTATAAGTCAGTCTTTCAACTGCCGTTACCAGGTTCACGGTTTGGCATGTGCGAGGTAGTCGCCTTAAGGGTAGTGTCAGGTTGTTGCGTCGATAGATAACAGAAACACAGTATTATAAAACTACTCTTTGTGCGTCTATTTCACTCTAGTCAAACACAATCATATGATACTATACAGATGCCTCCGCGTCGTAAGACTCGCGCCGCGTGACGCGTAATTGAATACAAGTAACGCCGTACCTTAGAGTTGCGATTCGCGGAGGCGCTCGGCGGGGTGAGGTAAAGGTAGGTTGGCGAAAGGTAGCTCGAAGAAGGAGAGTTGGAATCGGATGTGAGAGCTAGGCTAAAACTGAACTTGCGAAGAAGAGGGTTAGAGCCGAGATGATGCCTGGGGAATATTCATGGCAGATCGGCCCTCGAGTCATTAGTGTACTGGGACGCTACGGGCGTGGTGTATCGTGATTACCTGCGGCGTTCTATTATTATTTATCACTTAGAGTGTCGAGGTGTGTTGTTTCTAGTGATTGCATTTGGGGAATAGTGTGAGGCGATATATTTCCTCTGTGCGAGAGCCTGCGCTCTCCTACACCTATGGAGGGTGGTTACTCGTCCCAGTAAAATGCGCAAAGTGGTGGTGCCTACAAGGTGTAGCTTATCGCCTGTGACAGAAAGAAGCATGGCGTCTGATGCGCAGACGGCGTTGAAACTAGCAGCCGCCCGTATGTGCTGGGGTAAGTGAAGCCATGCAGCAAAATCGATAAGCATACAATCACTACCAGTATCAATGAGGGCCGTGAGTGAGAGTGAGCCGACTTTAACACCGCACATTGGCGCTGAAGATGTAGCGGTAGTCGGTGATCCGCACGCAGCAGATTCATGCGTGCTTGAAAGTTGTGAGGGTTCGGCGGTGCGATTGCGTCGCGGGGGCGTCGGCGAAAATCCTCTAAACGGCGGCGGAGAGGGCAGTCAGGCGCGTAGTGACCTGGTTGGCCGCACGCATAGCAACGAGTGTCGCGTCGGTCTTGGGTAGGCGCCGGCGCTGGTGGTTGAAATGGGGCGCGTTGGCGCGAAGCAGGTGGTAGATAAGCCTGATTACGAACAGGTGGACGCTGGTCGCGTCGTGCGATGGAGGGTCGCCATTGGCGAGATCGGAGCTGATCGTCACGGGGTGGGAGTGCTTGTAAACGTTGTTGCCGCGGGGTTGTCGTGTCATGTCTCTGAATGACTGATTCATCGCGGGCGTCTGGACCTGTGGCACGGCCTGGGAGATCAATGTACGCAAGCTGCGCACCTCTCTCAGTAGATGATCCGACGGCGTAGGGCGTTGCATGTTATTAACGTCCATTGGTTCTGTCGTGTCGTAGGGGTCAGCAAACGCGTCACTACGGTTTTGTCGTCGTGCCACTAGAGATGACTCGAGTACGTGTTCGTCAGCAGCAAGGTCGATAGCTTTAGTTAGCGTTGTAGGGTTGCGATGAAGCAACAGTCGCTGTGTATGAACCAATCTTAGTCCATCCAAAAAAATATCGACGAGACGGCCCTGCGTCTCAGCCATCGAAAGTTGCTCGACCGGAATCGCTCGCAATGCGAGAGTCAACAACCTGTCGCCATACGAGCGAATATGTTCGCCACTATTCTGCTGAAAATTCTTAAGCGCATTCTGCGCGTCTACTTTACGCAGCGGATCTCGGAAGCGCTTAGTCAGCTGTTCAGTGATCTGTTCCCAAGTCATAGTGGGCCGCTCAAGAAGAAGGCGGCGAGAAAATTCGGCAGCATGACCTCCGAGCGTCGATAAACCAAATACGCGCAACGACGTAGCGTCAAGACCCAATTCCAACTGTCTCCAATTCAGAGTGCTGAGCCAGTCGTCGAACGTAATCGACAGCGGCGCGTTATCGCCAGTGAATCGCGGAACTGAAGTCCGAGCTTCCGCGACACGGAGTTCATGTTGAAACGTAGCTGCTGCAGATTCAACGGTTGGACGCAACGATTCGCTAAACAGGTGGGCTATGTCGGCTATATCGTATTGGGGGGCCTGCGGCGAGTCCATGAGAAAAGCGGGGTTAAAGCTGTCCCCGACAGACACACTTATACGCGCGCACACGCGCATTTGCGCACGAACCAGGCACGCGTTACAGAAGCAGGTACACACACACACGCACACGCACACGCGCACACACGCGTTGTTGGCGTACGCACACACACACACACGCACACGCGCACGCGCACACACGCGTTGCAGGCGTACACACACACACGCACACGCACACGCGCACACACGCGTTGCAGGCGTATACACACACACGCACACACGCACACGCGCACACACGCGTTGCAGGCGTATACACACACACACACGCACACGCGCACACACGCGTTGCAGGCGTATACACACACACACACACGCACACACGCACACACGCGTTGCAGGCGTATACACACACACGCACACGCGCACGCACGCATTGCAGGCGTATACACACACACACGCACACGCACAAGCGCACACACGCGTTGCAGGCGTATACACAGACACAAGCGCACACACAGGCGCGCGCGCACACACACACACACAGGCGCACACACGCGCACGCACCCGCACACACACAGGCACACACACGCGCACACACGCACACACAAGCGCACACACAAGCGCACACACACAGGCGCACACCCACACGCACACACAGGCGCACACACAGGCGCACGCACGCACACACAGGCGTACACACGCGCACGCGCACACATGCGCACACGCACGCACACACACAGGCGCACACGCGCGCACACACACAGGTGATGAAGATCTCTCAACACTCGAGCGAAATGACAGTAATTAGGAAGCTGCCAAGCCGTCTCAGTGCACACTACATTCGTACACGACGCGCATATGTCAGCAAGGGCGACTGTGAAGAAGCAGTGATATAGAAGCAGTGAATTAGAAGCAGTGATATACGGTAGTAAGTAACTTAATTATAATATCTCTTACATGTAAACCGGCAGTAAGGTTAGCTTTACTTACCCGACCACGGTACGGCGCGGTTATGAGATCGTCAGTCACGACGGTGAATGAAAGTGGAGTGATGATGACACGGTGCTATTGTTGATGAGACGGCTCGTGATACGTATAGTAGATAGCACCGTGGGATGCCGGCAATAACCAGAAACGAACGACTTTCACGGCACCAAATGTAACGTGGCTTTACGTCACTATGTAGTTGTAGATTATAATGGTACTATTGTTAGCCAAAAACCATAGATAAGAGAAGCCATTTAGTTACCATGACTTGTTGTTTAATGTAGATTTGAACTGTTACAATGTTACAGACTGTGGACGCGTTTGCCTCTGGTTGCCGAGAGAGAATCCCAGATTTTGCTCGGGTCCCGGCCTTTATAGCCAAAGGCGCGCCCACGGCGCATGCTCACGCACGCGCCGCACGCACCAATCACAGCGTCTCACACAGCCGCGTACGTGGGGCCTCCCCACTATTGCCCTGGATGGTGGCGGCACCTAACGGCAAAGACTCGCTATTTTGTACCACCACCCTCCAGGAGGTGGCGACCCCTAATGGCACGGGCGCGCCGCGAGTGTCCAATATGGCCGCTGGCGCTGGCATTTGGCGGGCATCATGCCTGATTTGCGGCAACTAATCCCTCCTCATAACCATACTTCATGGTTGACCAGGCCTAATGTTACCTCACCTCAGCCGTTCAGTATCGCCATGGCTTCGCCCCTATGCTGAGGCTACCACCGCTAATCGCCACACGTCTGCACCGGCTGATTGGTGTATGGAGTTAATCTCCGAGTTAATCCCCAATCGCGGCGCGATGCTGCGGCGGCAGCCATCTTAATTGCGCAGCCCGCGGCCGTATTGACTGCCTCTTGTTGATAGGCAACGCTGTTGAGTCCATACTCGGACGGTCGCGGAGCGATCGCATCGCGTCGGAGAGGGGGGGAAGAGCAACTCTCACCCTTGTAACGAGCGTCATTACATTACAGTGTTAGCGCATGCGCAATATCGCACCACAGGAGCTATATTTTCTGATGAATTTGCATTTATTATGGTTAGGAGGTATCTCCGCATATATTTCTGAAATAAATTTGTATAGGTAGACCTGTGTTTATAATTAGGAGAGCGCCTTAGACTGCAGGGTGCAAAACTCTTACTTCATCCTCTCCCGTTTTTCCACTGCCTTTATTGCCCCTCGCATAGACTCCTTCTTCGTCTACCGCCCTCAGCTATCTTTCCTGCCGTCCTCAGTCTCCCAAGCCTCTCTCACTCAGTAACCTATATTATGCAGTTTGCTTCAGTCCGTTCTCAGCGCCTAAAAGGGTGCTCGCGCATGCGCAATATCTCATGAGCAGAATAATATTTTGCAAAAATTAGGCATTTAAAATAAAGAGCAGGTATCCCAGCATAGATTTATATGATAACATACCATCCGTAGACCTCACTTAAGAAATAGGACGAATACATTGCATGGAGGCCTAAGGTGTCCGCTGCGTAATCCAATCTGTACACAATCTGGCTACGTTAGGTCTTATTTCGATTACATTTACATTCGGACAACAATGAATAAACATTTGGTTCTTTTTAATGTGAAGAAAGCAGCTAGCCAGCTTCCATCACGGCTGGAAGGAGGTGCTCGTGCCGGACGACACAAGTGCGTGGATGAAATCCACACACTCGGCGGGTAGCGGGAATGTTTACCACAAGGCGAGGCGTTCTGCCGTCAGGTCCGTCGTCACGGTCGTCGTCTCCAGTCTGATACTCGTGGCAGCGTCCACAGGGTGTGCCCTGGTTACTTCCAAAATTACACCCGAAGACGACTGGGTTACCGATGCGAATGCCGAGTCGGCTAGTATATCGACATGGTTAGTGCTTATTGATATGGCCATCTTTACGGTACTGGCGGATTACCTAATCACATTACCTATCTTTCTCGTCAGCTGTCTTTGCGAGGTACTAATGCTAGAATTCTCAAGGATAACGGCTATCCTAGAAGATATTGTTACTGAGAATTACGAGAAGGCTTCAGCGCCCGGTGAAGACAATGTTTCACACATCGGTACCTGCAAACGGGTGCGGCGGCGCCACCAGTATCTCTGCACGCTAGTGGCGCGCACGGACGCCATCTTTGGGCCTCTGCTTCTGACGACATGCGGTACATCAGTAGTAGTGTTGTGTATTGACTTATTCTTCACTTGTTTATACACATTGATGTCTACCACTGGCGCAAATATTTTAATAGCCATGCTACCATCTCTGATCTATTCGATAATACTCGTATGCAACTACGTCAATCTGTGTATGTCAGCGTCCAAAGTCATGGAAAAGGTAGGTGAAGATAGTATCTCAATTCACTCAGGTAGTATCATGAAGAATACGAAATTGGATTAAACACCTGTACGATGTACGATGCGTTGAGTAAAATAAATTTATTAATAATAATCGTAATGATGATGATGATGATGATGATGATGATGATGATGATAACGATGATGATGATGATGATAACGATGATGATGACGACGACAACAATGATGACGACGACAATGATAATGACGACGATGATGATGACGACGACTATGGCATGGAGGTTGACACAGCCCTGAACTACTTGTCTTGTTCTCTCTTATACTCAAAATTCATGCTGTTCTCTGCGCAGGCCCACGGTATATTGCCTGCAATCAACGACCTCGCATTGCTTGATGCCCCGATTCAAGAAGAAGTACAGGTATTATCTGCTATTTAGAGAGTTCGGAGTTAGACGAAACCTCGCTCTGTACGCACGGTAATACATTACCTATGTGTCCCGGTACCTATGTGTCCCAGTACCCAGGTACCTATGTGTCCCGGTACCTATGTGTCCCAGTACCCAGGTACCTATGTGTCCCGGTACCTATGTGTCCCGGTACCTATGTGTCCCGGTACCTATGTGTCCCAGTACCCAGGTACCTATGTGTTCCGGTACCTATGTTTCCCAGTACACGAAACAAAGGATTTCAGGATTAGGCCTAAGCTTTACGTCAGCAAACAAAAAATGTTTAGTTAATAGGTACCGGAAAACATAAGTACCGGGACACATAGGTACCTGGGTACTGAGACACATAGGTACCGAGACACATAGGTACCGGGACACATAGGTACCGGGAAACATAGGTACCGGGACACATAGGTACCTAGGTACTGGGACACATAGGTACCGGGACACATAGGTACCGGGAAACATAGGTACCGGGACACATAGGTGCCTGGGTACTGGAACACATAGGTACCGGGACACATAGGTATGGACCCGTGTCCCAATACCCAGGTACCTATGTGTCCCGATACCTATGTGTCCCAGTACCCAGGTACCTGTGTCCCGGTACCTATGTTTCCCAGTACACGAAACAAAGGATTTCAGGATTAGGCCTAGGCTGTTACGTCAGCAAACAAAAAATTAAAATGTTTTTTTAGTTAATAGGTACCGGGAAACATAGGTACCGGGACAAACATAGGTACCTGTGTACTGGGACACATAGGTACCGGGACACATAGGTACCTGGGTACTGGGACACATAGGTACCGGGACACATAGGTACCGGTACACATAGGTACCTGGGTACTGGGACATATAGCTAACGGGACACATAGGTATGGACCCACACATCTTCTTGTCATTTGATGCGAATCTACGGACATCGAATTCTGATCAACAATTTCCGTCTGATTCGTACACAGGGTAATTCGTTGAATTGATTCGTATGGTAAGATTTCAAGAGATTCTTTGGAATTCTTCGTCCATTAATGATTATGTTAGAGCAGCTGCTGTATACATGTAGGACTTATTTCTCTACACACGTCCGATATTAAAACCTAAATTAATCTAATAAAATTAATCACAATAATCAAAATATAAATCTAATATTATAATTTGAATTTAGATCAGGGTATGATTTTTCATTTTAAGAAGTGGCGGAGAGGGGGGGGGACTTCCCGGTTACTAAATATCCTCAAAGAATATACCCGAATATAATATATATAAGTATATATATATATATACTTTAGAGGGTGTTCTCGGGTTCGTGATAGGCGGAATTATCACAGACGTCGTAAACGAAATCTAACTAGTCACCATTCGATGATCATGTTGCAAGTTTGTGACAAAACTATGCCTAGTAACAGCTATTATTACAAGCATTAAAGCTTTTTATAAATAAAAAAACCTTGATCGCATATCCAGTGGCGTAGACAGGTCCTCAGTTGTGGGGGGGATGATTTCGCTGTTACTTCCATCATAATGTATATGAAGAGTGTGCGCGAGTAGCGTACACCGCGAGCGCCTTGGCGCAAAGCCCTTAATGGGTGGGGTCCAGGGGCCCGCCCTAGGGGCCCTGGCGGGGTTAATTGTCACTGTATCTTGCGTCATTTCCCATTATAATACCTAGCAATGTAGCACCGCGGGTAAATTATTACTAGTTAGACTTTATTACTAATGTAACATTTTGTAGCCGGATCACATCGCGCGACGATACATCGAAAGTAGATCGCGTCAGATCGAGGCTAGGGCAGGCAGCCATTACAAATTAGACGACACGTGAATAATAAGCAGCTTTATTTAAAGTCACTGTTTACACTTATATAATAATAACAAGAAAACATTACGATTGACTGATATTATTTTCAGCTGGTGCTCGTGGCGTACAAGGCTGGCGTTGATAGACAAGGTTAGATCGTGGATGAAATAGCAGCTATAGTAATACTATCTTGAATGTGCATGCGTCAAGACATGAGATTAGAAACCAAGAATTGCAACGTCACGATAATAAATAAATGTTGAAACCTAAAAATAAATATTGGAATTGGCCATGTGATTACATTCTGTTTACATTGTCATAAATATAAGCCTTCGTTATTTCAATAAGTCGATATTGAATACAGGGTTAGGGTTATGGTTGTGCGTGTGCGTGTGCGTGTGCGTGTGCGTGTGCGTATGCGGGTGCGTGTGTACATACGTGATTGCGTACGTGCGCGTGTGCGTGTGCTTGCGTTTGCGTGTATGTGTGTGCGTGCGTGTGCGTGCGAGCGTGCGTGCGTGCGAGCGTGCGTTCGTGCGAGTGTGCGTGTGTGCGCGCGTGTGTGCGTACGATCGTGCGTGTGCGTGCGAGTGTGCATGTGTGTGCGTGTGTACGTGTGTACGTGCGTGCGTGCGTGCGTGCGTGCGTGCGTGCGCGCGTGCGAGTACGTGGACCTGCGCTCGTTTGCGCACACGCGCCCATATCTGTTTTTTATTAGTATAGAGGTGGTTTCAGTATTACAACATGCAGTCGTTTCCATTGTGATAGGTATTTATTAATTCTCTTCCTTGCCGACATTACTGCTCTACGGTAATTGCGTATTCCATCGGGTTCCTCTGTTTATTTCAAACACATAAACGATAGACACCGAACGCCCTTATTTGGGTTAATTGGGAAATATTTCACGCACCTCTCTATAGTCCCGCCCGTTTGTCTCACTCGTCTAATTAACGCGCCAGTTCGTTTGTTGGGTACCCGCAAACATTCTAGAAAAAAGAGCAGCAAATGTCAGAATGATAGCAAATGAGAGAGAGAGAGAGAGAGAGAGAGAGAGAGAGAGAGAGAGCGAGCGAGAGGGAGAGCGAGAGTACGAGCTATAAATCACAATTTGTATCGAGTTGGTTAATATCGATGTGCTAAATTTCTATTTCAGATGCTCAGTTTTGCCACGAAGTTATCTGGACCAAGTATCGGTCTCACGGCTTGTAGCTTCTTCGTTATTGACAGAAGTTTCCTTCTCACGGTATGCTGTCATTCAAATGTTCAAATGTATATAACCTCATTACTCCCATCTTCTTTCTACATGTGATATTGTTTGTAATTTATAGTCTAATTAGTAAAAAGAGAAACTAACGATAAAGATTGACTTCGTAGCAAAACCGTTGACATACGTGAGATTATTTTCGCAGCTTTAAGATGCGTTTATTTCTTCTTATTTTTCAGATTTGCGGATGTTTTCTGACATACTTTGTTTTAATCATACAGTTCACGCCTCTACGTGATCATAATGACTTATATATAGTTAACAGTACGATCGTAGAGTGAAGTGTTGAGTTTAGTCGTGCATACGTTTAATCGGTCAATTCTCATGCAGTTAAATTCTCTCGGCAACTAAAGACTCGATACTATAGGCTATTTCCGGAACTAATTTCATAAATAATTGCGCTACCTTTTCACAGTTTACAACGATGCATATTAATTCGTTTTTCTTTGAATCGAAATAATCGAAATAACTTAATTAATCAATTAATATTACATTTCTGATAATTATAGCGTAGTAATTGTTGTTCGTTTAAAAGTATAGTGATGGAGATGACGTTTATCATTTGAAACTACATTTTTCGCTGGCATATGATCATGAATGCGCGCAAGTTCACTTGTTCGTGTTTAATTGTCGCCTCTTGCAATTATTTTCTTTTACTGATGTCCATTACGTACGATGTATGCACGCGTGATGTATCAATGCTTGTCTTATAAATTAACCAAAGGTTACGGCTCTGAAATTGCTTTGATTTCTAACAAAGGCACAGAGCAATCGCTAACGCGCAGAAATTCAAAGCGATCCACATGCTGTGCAGGTACATATCTGACAGGCGACAAACGTGAAGTAATTACGATACATTAGTGGAAACGTAAACAATAGCTAGTATTCTATGAGAACATGTATGCCGCGAACGAACGTGTAAACGCGCAATTCCATAGCCACGTCACATGTCAACGAAACTAAACATGGGCGAGTCAACTTCTGTTCTGCTGCGATATATCCGTGTGTGGATGCGTGTTTGTATGAGTAATAACACTAGCCGACAGAATGTGGGCATAATGTTTCATTGCATAGCGCAGCAGCAGCAGCAGCAGCAGCAGCAGCAGCAGCAGCAGCAGCAGCAGCAGCATCCACTAATGTACGCAAATGTTTGATATCTAGACGTGGGTTTGGTGCGCGTTGTTTATTTAGGCAACAAACATGACCTGTCGTAAACGCGTCGAAAGGTTCCATGCTTTTTAATTAATTATCGATAGAGACAAGCACTGACATGCAGAACCTGACTATTCGGCAGGTCATGACGCATGCGCTGTAAACACTCGCTATACACGTCCTTCTCTACTCGCTGTTCTACGTCTGTAATCTGAGCTCTATAGAAAAAGGGTTTAGTATACTGAGACCTTATTATAATATATTATTATTATACCTTATTATATACTATAATTATTATAAAAACCTTATATAGGTAGGAATTGTAGAGAATCTTGCTACGTCACCGCTATTAACCCAGTGTGTGCTAATAGTTCTGCGCATGCGCTACTGTCTCATAGATTCATCTCTTGTGATGTTATTGCGCATGCGCTACGCTCGAGCTGTTGCGGATAGGTTCGCCTTCCTTCTGTAAACATTAAAGTAAACTGAGCAAATATATGCGATTCTATCTCGTTATGATTTGTTACAATGGATGGTGGCGAATATGACAGAATAAGGCCAGCAGTGAAAGGTGTGCGGACGTGCACACAGGACGTCGTGCGTTACCGTTAAAGCATCATCTCCCAGCAAACCATTTATTCGCTCCTCTCTCTTTCCATCGGCTCTCTGAGTGAAGTATAAACCAACATTAAACATCATGCTTCGTACTGCGAGGATATCACACGATAGCCGTGCGGAAGAGCAGCAGGAGGAACAGATGGATGTGGAGGAAGGGGCCGCGGAAGACAACCTGTACGACGCGCTGCGACCTCTGCTCAGATGCATGAAGCTGTTCGGGATTTGGCCCGTGAGAGAGACGCCGCCGGGAGACGCCCGCGCGCCGCAGGGATGCTGCGCTGCCATCTACTCCGCCGCCATCCTCACTATGACACTTGCGGCCTATGTCTATATCTGTTTCTTCTTCGCGCACAGTTTGCTTGCTAATGTGGATCTTATTACGTGCCTTGGTATCATTTCGGTCACGTTCGTTTTCATCCAACAGTGGATAAACACTTGGTTCTTTTTAATGCGAAGAAAGCAGCTAGCCAGCTTCCATCACGGCTGGAAGGAGGTGCTAGTGCCGGACGACGCAAGCGCGTGGATAAAATCCACACACTCGGCGGGTAGCGGGAATGTTTACCGCAAGGCGAGGCGTTCTGCCGTCAGGTCCGTCGTCACGGCCGTCGTCTTCAGTCTAGTCATCATGGTCGGGTACGCACCTTTGATACCCGTCATTGGTGGCAACACGACACGACCGAACGCGTTGGTGAATAAGAACAGTGTCGCGTCAACCCACAATACGGCGGAAGTATTGGCCTTCTATTCTATAATGTTTACGTGCACGATCGCTTCGGTTTACACGGTCATGCTTCCCATTTCTCTCGTGAGCTGTCTGTGCGAGTTACTGACGCTACAGTTCGCCGCGCTGGCAGCGACTCTCGAGGGCAGTGCGAAGAAGGAGAATGCTTGGCGTTCAACGACTGCTAAAGACACTACTTCACTCATCCTTACCTGCAAACGCGTGCGGCAGCGCCACCAGTACCTCTGCACGCTAGTGGCGCGCACGGACGCCATCTTTGGGTCACTGATTCTGATGACGTACGGGGTATCTATAGTGCTGATGTGCACTGACGTATACTATGCGGTTTATGTCATCAATCTGCGTGGATCTGATGTCGATACTCTTACGGCGATCGTGCCGGTGCTCGCCTATCCCGCGGCTCTCGTGAGAAACTACGTGAATCTTTCCATGTCAGCGTCCAGGGTCAAGGAAGAGGTTGGTACTTACAGCTAGATATATATATA